AGCACCTTGAATAGTAATTATTTCTTAGGAGATAATTATTTTTATATCAGAATAACTGCCAGAAAAAACGAAAAACGATCGGGACGAGAATAATTGCAGATTGAAGAGATAAAGACAGATAGTCGAGTCAAGCCGTAAGTAAAGTGCGTGAATCGTTGTGAATTCTAGCGTATGTTTAATTTAAAGTGACTGTGGAAATTAAGTGTAGTGCAAAGTTGAATTGAGAAAGAATAAATTAGTTTTATTTAAGAAATGGCTTGTATCGCTGAAGTTCTTCGGAAAGAATTTCTACGAAAAATTAACAAACGACCAGAGACGTAACAGCACCCTTGAAATCTAGTTGAAACTTGATAGCTTTGTTTGGGTATATATCTCGATAACAATTGCGTACACAATAAGTAAAAGCATACGAACTTTAAGTTTTTTTTTAGATTCTTTTGAAAATGTAATGCTGTACAATTAAAATATCATTCTAAATTATATTTTTAATGTAATTTGTTTCTTTAACTAAAGGGCTAGAGCTCCTAGAAAGTTCAAAGGATGTGACATCGAATTATTTCTAGTATATTTGAAGTTAGATTATAAATTGGAAAGTTGAATCATTCCATGTTTTTTATTGTGATGTATTCTGATCTGTGTTTGCTAATACGCTTATTGAGTTACTTTATACACATAAGTTGATTTGATTTTTAACATAAGCCAAACCATTTACAGCAGTGTACAATTGTTGAAGCTTGTAAAAAGTAAAAAGTGGAAATGAAATGATTTATTATTGTTATTTGTGCTGGATATTGAATTATTTTCACCAGATAATTCAAAACAACTTAATGAAGGAGAAACTGTGTATGCTAATACAGGAGTAGTGGTCAATTCCTTCTACAGTTTTACAAAATGATGATAGTAAGAGCACAGTCCAAGAAATCCTCTTACCTCATGTAGGTTGTTTGGTTTGAGCCAGTTCTGGACAGTGTCAATCTTTCATGGATCTGTAGACACTCCTTCTCTGCTGAATATGTGTGTCCCATGAAGCTCAACTAATAACGGAATAATTCGTGCTTCTTTGTATTCAGCTTGAGGTTCTCTTTCCTCAAGCATTATTAAACCTTCCTTAACCCTTCAAAGGTATTACCAAAGGTCTTCCCATGTATGATTATTTCATTCAAGTAGGTGAGTATGCTATTTCAGTGTAGTTCAAACAGAGCACATACTATTAATCATTTGAATGTAGCAGGAGCATTACATAATTCAAAGGGTTACATGGCCAATTAACACAATCCATTTTTTGTGGTAAAAGCCATTTTTTCTCTATTTACTTTGTCGACTTGCTCTTGCCAATATTCACACTTAAGATTCAATGATGAAAAACTTTTTGATCCTGATAGTGCATCCAAGGTAGAGTAAATCCTTGGCAATGGGTATACATCCTATTTTGTAACTTTATTCATTTTTCAGTAGTTAATATAGAACTCGAGGATTCATCGTTTTTCTTCACAAGTATGGCAGATGATGCATAAGAACTAGCACTCAGTTCTATCAATCTTTGTTCCTTCATGGCTTCTATCTCTTTCAAAGCCTCAGCATGGTTTGGAAATTAAAGTCATCTGGCTAGTGGACATATTAGCTACATCTGAAGTATCAGTCTTGTGAGATGATTAACATGTTCAGCATAAGTCATGAGGTCCAGTGGAGAAAGTGTCTTGATTTCTTTGAGCAAGTTACGTAACTGTTGGTGCTGACCAGTTGTAATACCCCTACAGCTCTGTTCATACAATTCTTTATGTGAGGTAGAAAGCTATCTTTATATAAGGGTTTAACATCAGCCTTCTTTCATCTTTCGTCGAAGATTACTACTTTTGATGTTCTTTGATATGGAAGTACTTCCTGTACAGCATCAAATCTTGTAATTTTACATTCATATTTGACTCATATCTTATGGTATGTTGTATTCATGGCCCTACTGACGACATCTTTATTCTTAAATTCCACAAGAGTTCTACAAGCCATTAATGATTAATCCACCAGAAAATACTGGAGTGTGTATGTGTGGTTGTATTACAGTCCAGTCATTAGATCTACATATGTGTTCAACAAGTCCTTGTATGAATTCTTCACTTTTCAATGGTATTGTTACGTCTCCATTCGTTAGTTAATTTTCCGTAAATTCGTTTCGACAAAACTTTAGTGACACAAATCCTTTCTTAAATAAAACTGGTTTATTCTTTCCGAATACAACTTTACGATACACTTAATTTCAACAGTCGTTCTATAACAAATGCTATAATTCTCAATGAACGTCTCACGTGCTCGTACTCGACTCAACAATACTCAGTTCAATTACACACACACACTGTCCCGTCACGTTGTGACTGTCTTATATATACAAGACTAACACATATCTAGTAAATGCTAGAGCATTCATGAAGAAACAGGATATTTCTAGAAGGGCGTGGCGTGATACTACTCACGTGACCTCGCTGACGCAACACTGCCCCTCCTTAGTATTGTTCGTCCCGAA